GTGGCCCTTTATGGTTATGCAACTCCGAGAATGCTTTGGGAATCAAGGATTTGCAGTTTGGGCAAAATGTCTATGAGCTAACCAAGATGTCACAAAAGTTTGTTCCTACGTTGACGTGCTCCAGAACTGACATGACAATACAGCACAAAAAACAGGTTTTCATTTGGGAGAAGAAACAGAAAAGTCTGAAATGTATGACAAACTTTCTTTTATTTGAAATGTTTTTAAACCCCTTGCAATCTTCTTTATAGGTAGCATCTGCATTCCAGTGGGGCTTGGCTTTCCTTTTCAGAATCATAGCTTTATCTTGCCAGATCCTACCATAATTAGAATAAGCCTTCTCCCACCTGGCATCCTTCAGGTGGATTCTCAACATCCAGCATCTGGATGCAATTGAATTATGACTGAAGCTGTGTGTCTGTGATCTTTGGTGCAGATCAGAACAGATCCCCACTCTGGGATTATTGGGTCTGAAGTCAGAACAATTTATAAAGGTGAGAAATATTTACCTTCAACCCTCAGGGGCAAACAATATGGCTGCTGTGCATGCTTTAGTTTCCTCCATGTCCAATGCAACACCTGCCTTATCTTTTTTTTAATCAACGTAATGGGGAAAGTGCCAGTGCCTGGAATCCTATTTACTTTAAAGAAAAGCTTCTGGATCCAAGAAGCATCCTTAGAAAATAGAAGTGGTGGGTGGATGGCTACAGTTTAATATTTTGTTTGAAACTTTGATGTCCCATCCCCAAAAAAGCCTCTGTTGTGAGTAAACCTTAAATGGTAAAGAACATATCTGGGAGCTATGGGGGGGGGATTTTCCTAGTTTGCCTTCTAGTAGATAGGTGTTTGATAACTGATCATGTCCACCATAAGCACCCACAGAATATCCTCTAAGTGCTTGCACTGTGTAACTCTTGTTTTTATGAAAATTAATTCTTTCGTCCATCTTGCCTAACTTGTTAATTTTATTAACTGGTGCTTTCAGATGTACTGAAAAATGCAATGTATTATTATTTTTTCAAATGCAGGCTAATAAGTGATTTCTGTATTATATATGATTTACAAGAATTGCTAGAAGATCTCAATTTCATTTCATGCCCACACAGTTTAACTTAATTCAGGTATTTCTTTTTCTAAAAAGGAGTTTATTATTCATCCATTTATTTATTAAAAAAAAGTCCTCCACATTCATTGTTAAAAACAATCTTGAAGCAGGGAACAAATAAAATTAATTTACAATTAATTGTTAGCAGTTAATGCAATGATACTAATGATAATAATTGAAACCCATTTTTTAAAAAAACCCAAAACCCCCAAATAGCTGAAAACATTATGGTACAGGATATCAGTAAGAAAACAGAATAGAAAGCAGAAGAGCGCCAGTTTAACTGAAAACCAATATGAAGAGATAATTTAGAAGGCTTAAGATTACTCCTAACTGAAAAGGGAAAAAAATTATTTGCATTATTTATGATATTTACAAACATTTGCTTACTGCCTACTCTCTGGATTTTAGGTAGTTTACAATCATAAAATAATTAAAACATAAATAACAATAAACCTGTTGCAACATACCATAAATCAGGATACAGACGGTGTCCGCCTAATTGAGGTTCTCCTTAGCCAAATCCCTATAGAAAAACACAGTTTTTCCTGCCTTTCTAAATGTTCACAGGCCATCATGAGCAAGCTATTCCAGAGTCTGGGAGCTACAACCAAGAAAGTAATCTTCTAGGACTCTCCCAGCCAGACTCCCAGGGACATGGGGACCTGCAGTGCCTCCTTCTGACTAGCATGTATTGGCTGGGCAGCTTGTATAAAAAATGCCTTCTCTCTTGCTGCCACACACTGAACCATGGGCAGATGATTCATGAAGGCACTCCCACTAAGACCTTAGTTGGGATGGGTGAAGAAGTTTTGCTGTACCATACTGGGCTTTGTGAAGTCTTTGGTGCTCTCTGAGCTTAGTTGTCTGCCTGCAGACATTTCATTACCCAACTAGGTAACATCATCAATGCGAGTGAGTGTGGGGTTTGCTGCCTGTTCATATACTGTAGCTTGCCCTGCTAGTGTTGGTGAGGGTGTAGTTTTCCCCTTGGTAGTTCCTTGATTAGGGTACTGTTTTCTGCTTGCTTGTCTGCCTGGTGTTAATCCTTGCTTATCTGGTTGTTGGCTGCTGGAGAAGATGTGTTCTTTTTGTTTCTTTATTATCTTTTTTATTGTCTTTTTTGAATGGCATGTAAATATGGTTTATTTTTATGTGTCTATTGATGGCTGATTTGTCTGAATTCCAAACTTCCAGGAATTCCCTAGTGTTTTTGGATTTATCTTAGTCTAGGATGCTCAGAGTTTCCCAGTTGAAACTATGGTTGAGTCCATGTATTATGAGATTAAGGAGTTTTCATCATGTCTTCTGACTGCTCCTTGGTGTTCATAGGTGCACTCTGCTACTCTTCTGCCTGTCTGTCCTACGGAGTGGCTGTTACAGTCCTTACAATTGTTAGAAAGAAAGCTTACGAGGTTCGTCTCCAAGCCGGGAATAAACACGCAGGCGGTTGCTTGAAGGAGAGAGAAGACTATTTTCCGAGAGCCAGATACACAAAACGATCAGCTGTCGGGGTGGCCCCGCTTGGGGTCTCCCAGGAGTTCCTTTTATAGGGAAGATACTATTGCTCCTTGGAAGGTGAGAAGGAATGCCCGCCCGCTAGGAATTCTCAGAGAAAGTAATTAACCGGGATTCCAGGAGAGGGCGCTCTCCGGTGAAATTGACTAGGGAGCGTTCTAAGGTCCGGCACCCTACTGAGCTGAGGTTTCCTGCGTTTGCCTTACCAGGTATTTTCTAGTTAGAAAGTAGATCCCTTCGGGGAAGAAATCTTTTTATGATTCGATCATGGCTTCAGGGAATGTTGGCCCTTCCTGCTAGGTCTTTAGTTATTTAATTTTGGGGTGGAGGACTCTTGATTCTTCCTGCTACGTTTGTAATCTTTTTAGGTGAGCCCATTCTTACTATAATTTAATCATAT